TTCAGGAGAGTCTATCCCAGACTATAACTGCAACTGAGGACAATGATTGCAGGAACGTACTGAGTCGAGTGTTAAATGTTCCTGAGCAGCCAAAAAATAAAAATCCTAGAAATAAACAAGTGATGGAGTCTTTGGAAAAATTGAAACCTCAAATTCGTGAATTGCAAAAGGACAAAAAGAGATACATGTCAGAAAGGCACGGTCCAGAGTTTAAAGATACTAGTGACAAAGATAATATCAATTGTAATTTTCAGCAGAAAAGGTAACTATATATATTACATTGAAATTAATTTAGCACAATTTTCTTAATTGACACATTAATCATATTCATTATTGGTTCAGGGCATTTCACCTTGTCGGCTCTATTTATCGTCACCGACTTCTCGCATGGTTGGCAAGGGAAAAGTGCATAATACTTTGGGAGACTTACTTCACCATAAAATGCTCCCTGCTGGATTTTTGAAAGTATCGATTGGTATTACTTTAGAGGGGGGTGTTATTGCATATACCAGACGATGTTTCGGATGCAACATTGGTGGGAGACGCAATAGGATCGTATGTTGCATGGCCGTCAAATCTCATTTTCATAGATGATGAGGTAGGTTGAACACCATTATGAACCTTGTAGTATTCAAATGTTTTACGACCCATACATGTAAGTTATTCTTACATTTGCGTACCATTTATTTACATGATGATCTTAGACTCCTACAAAATCCAAATCAAAAGATAAGGGGATTTTGCAGGAAACCGACTTAGCTGCATCAAAAAAAAAGGTACTCCTACATTAATTGATATATATGCATAGAAAATGTCAATTATATCCTCTGATTTCAATAATTTTATGATCTTATACATTAATTACCTAACTTATATGACTTTTAGGTTCATGCTCAAGAGTTGCAACAAGTCAGCAAAGGTAAGATGCCTGAATCTAGCAAGGTGTCCAACAAAAAAAAAGGCCGAGCCAAAAAAAGCATTTGTTCATCGATTTAGGTTTGAAATATATATATGTAGGAACAATAGATGTGGTGGAGGGTGGCATTCATCAAATACCTATGAATGAAGGTATTTTCGATTTTGCTTATGCCGAAACAATTGTTAAAGAGGATTTGGATCAGATTTTCCAATATTCTAAATTAGGCATCGGTGTTATGTATTCATACATCAGGTACTCCGATCAATTCTAATTAAATAATTGAACAATTTATTTGCTCATTTCAATGAATATTCTAATGTTTATTATGTTTTTGTTTAAGGTTCTTGTATGACAAGTTGTTGGTCCCGCATCAATTGACAAAGAGGTTCACATTCTTATCTTTTAGAAGTATCAACTCACAATTAATCGATCATACTTCAGATGTAGTCAGAGATTACTTAGTCCAAGCATTTATGGCCACAGATACAAAGAAGTTGTATTTTTTGCCATATAATACTGGCCATGAGTTAGATTTCATTCTAAATTCATTTATTATAATTATTCGTTTTTTGACATTCTATATAACATTTCCGCCTAAACTTTTGTCTTATTTTATAGTGGACACTAGTTGTTGGTTGCGATTAATCTGATAAAAGAAATAGTGTATTATCTGGATTCATTGGATGGTGATCAAACAAAATATCCTGATATGAAGAATATGGTCGATACGTAAGTGATGAGATATATTGTTCTGAATAATTATCTTTATTTATTATGTGAGATTGTTCTAAATATTCATTTTTATTATATTAGAGCTATACAAATATTCTAATCACAAAGACAAGCAACAATACCAAAATGTAAGGCTAACAACATTAGCTGGATCAGAGTGCAGGTATATTTTCACAATTTTGATTTTTATAGTGATTCTACTTGATAAGACTAGTTAAACTATATATCCTGATATATATATATTCGTTTGTTTTTTCCATTTACAGTGTCCTCGTCAGTGCAATGGGATTGATTGCAGATATTTTGTATTGAGGTTTATGAAGGAAATTATTCATTTGGGTCAAATAGAGATTCCAAACATGGTATGGATTTATAAGTTATATGATTTATTTTAATATTTAACCGATATTTCATCTGAGTAATTAATTTTAAAACTAAATCATGCATATTATGTTATATTATGTAGTACTTTGATGAATTCAAGTGTGGTACTTACTCGAAAGACAAATTGAAAGAAATTAAGGAGGAATGGTGTCAATACATTCTTGAGATGGGAATTGTATAAGGTATATATATTGTCTTTCTGTCTTTTTGATCGGAGTTTATAAAGATTTGTGTTGTTGTAATGTTATGTACATACTCCTGGATAATTATAGTTCTGGAAGTCGTATATAGTTTTGAGGATCCGGAAATATGGAATTTGTAATTATATGTATAGTGAATGTATTTGTGAAGTTATCGATTTTGGAATATATTTTAGAATTATATATAAGCAGGTATATGTGTTGAATTACAATGATTATAAACAAGTTTATGTGTTGACTTGTTATGGTATATATAAGGCCAAAGTGTTGAAATAAAGGCCTGTGGTAAATGTAATTGTTATAAGCAGGTTTATGTGTTGACTTGTTATGGTATATATAAGGCCAAAGTGTTGAAATAAAGGCCTGTGGTAAATGTAATTGTTATAAGCAGGTTTATGGGAAAAATTATAAAGAATTGTGCAACAGAATTCAACAAAAGTCACTTCATAAAAATATGCAAAATAGACAGCGCTTTTACCAAAAAAACGCTATGAAAAAATGATTTTTTTGAATAAAAAATTCAATGACGTGAAAAAAGACAGCGTTTTTCTTGAATAAGCGCTGCTAAAAGGGGGGAAAAGAGAGCGCTTCTAAAAGCGCTGCTATAGGGGGGAAAAGAGAGCACTTAAAAAAGCGTTGCTAAAGGTGGGGGAAAAAGCAGCGCTTTTCTTAAGAAAAGTGCTGCTAAAGGTATTTAGCAAATACACTTTAGGCAGCGCTTTTTAAAAGCGCTGCTAAAGGTGGGAAAATAGAGACCGCTTTCTTAAAAAAATGCTGCTAAAGGTATTAAGGAAATATACTTTAGAGAAGGCTTCTAAAAGCGCTGCTAAAAGAGGAGGGGGGGAGAAAGCACTTTTCTGGAAAAGCATTGCTAAAAGTGGGCCTATAGCAGCGTTTTTTACTTTAAAAAAACGATGTCTTTACCTTTAGCAGCGCCACTTTAGGCAGCGCTTTTAAGCGCTACTAAAGGCCAAAAAAAGCACCGCTAAAGGTCTTTTTGACATAGTGTTAGTTGAGAAACATCTTTGGGAACCTCAATTTCTTGCAGCTGAGATGTATTCTGCTAATACTGTAGACAAAGCAATAATTGTTTGTTTTTTACTATCCCAGGATATTAGATTTTAACATATTAATTGACAGTTTCCGCTAGTGAATTTTCTCTCAATTCTTTGCAAAGGAAAGCATTATTAAAACGAAAAGATAATATCATCCACATATACTTGGAAAACTAAGATATCATTTTTAAGTGTCTTTCTAAAGAGTGTAGTGTCTGCTTGTCCTTTTTGAAAACCATTTTCTAATATAAAACTACTCAGTCTCTCATACCAAGCTCTGGGAGTTTGTTTGTGTCCAAGTATGATTTCTTAAGTTTGAAAACATGTTATAGGTGGACTGAATCCTCAAACCCAGGTGGTTGTTTGACATACACTTCTTCAGAAATAACTTCATTTAAAAAGGAACTCTTAGAATCTATTTGGTATAAAATAATATTATGATTAACAACATAAGAGATAAGTAACTTGATTGCCTCTATACTCATATACTTTTTATTTTGTGTTAGTTATATATTTTGATGTCTATCTTCTTTCTATCAAAGATTTTCTGCAATTTTGTTGAACTTATGAATTTTGTATTTATAAGGTGATGTTGCTTAATTTTAAGCAATGTTTAATCATTTGTCAAGGGCCTTGATGTATATTACTTGCAGGTGAGTTAATTATGTACATACATTTCTTTTGTGATGTAGTAGTTTCTAGCATGAACTTCTAATAAGTCCGTATTTGAGATCTAAGAATGAGGCAAAGTTTACATGTGATTTGGCGTACCTGTTTGTGTGTATAGAACAATCTATTAAGTTGAAGTTAGGGATTGGACCTCTTCATATTGCATATTTCATGTTGTGTGTGCTTTGATTTAGTCCTTTGAATTGCTTTCAATATCTTTCTCTATGTGAGTTTCTATGTCTGACTGATGTACATGTGTAGCACTAAATTGAGTTAGGTATATAAGAATTTACCCTAATATTATAACACAACATGAAAATAAAATTAGACTCTAAATAATGTTCAACAATTGATCATCCTCCAACAATTTTAAGAGCGGTGATATTTACAAATAATTTTGTTGAGAATCACTTGTATTAATGGGAATGTACAATTTGTATCTTACTTAGCTAGGAATTAACTTAAAATTAGTTAGAAATTAATTTAAAATTAGTTACGAATTAACTACAAATAATATATTTAAAAAATTAAAAAATAAAAGAAATTACCACGTGGCATCTACATCAATATTTTTTGTCACGGTAGCATTGTCACCTATATGTTCAATCATAAAAAAGTTTCACGTTAACATGTCATATCAGTATTCATTAATAATATTTAATGTTAGAGATCAATGGTATGTTTGAAAATTTTTAAAAAATTATTTAAATTTTTTAAAGGATTAAAAACGAAATGCCCAATATTTAAAAGAAAAAGAAAATTATCTAATCCATTTTAAAATTGAAGTTAAATTTTATTGTTAGCATTTCATAAGATGGAGTGAGTTTCAGGATTTGGGAAGAATAACCTTTAAACAGATACATAGGGTGAAAGCCGAGAGTTTGAAACTAAAAGCACAGCAAAACGCCATCGTTTGAAATCCTGCGGCAACCTTTAAATTCTCGCCCTCTATGTAACCTAACTCAGTTCAATTCAATTCCGATAAAGCAATCAAAGCGAAATTCCAAAAGAAATCCCAAACACCATTAGCGAAATTCATCAATGGACGTAAAATCTTTAGCAAAATCAAAGCGAGATCACACACGACAACACAACAAAAAGTATCACGGAAATCAAAAGCTCAAAGTTCAATCACAGTCTTCGGTTTCTTCTTCAGTCCCAACCCAAAAAGACGACGCAAAAGAGCCATTTGCAAAGCAACAAGTAGTTGAGAAGAAAACTACTCGCTCTCGTTCTCAGGGCTCTTCTTTACTTCCCGGAAATTGGGACCGGTATGAAGAAGATGATTCGGATTCTGTTCCTGAAAGTTCAAGCAAAACCCTAGATGTTGTTGTCCCCAAAAGTAAGGGCGCTGATTTTCGTCATCTTGTTGCTGAGGCTCAGTCTCATGCAGATAAAACTCTAGACGACTTCAACGAATCTCTTCCTTGTATGGGTTTACTGATTGCTTCACTGTTAATTATCTGTGATTAATGTTGGATTATGATAGTAATTGAGAATTTTTGATTTTGTTTAGGATTAATGTTGAGATTATTTTTTGCAGGGGAGTTTGGTGTGGGATTAAGCTCTATACTTTCAGTTAGAGGAGAGGGCATTGTCTCATGGGAGGGAGATGATAATTTTGTTGTACAGGATAAGACTATTGGAAATCAGGAGGTAATTTGTTTATTTCATTAATTAGTGTTGATGTGATTATTGAATAAAATCATATGTTTACCAATTCCTTTTGAATGTGGTAGAAATAGTTGTCATTAGGTAAGGTTTTATGCATACTACTAGTGCTAGTAGTGAGTGCTTCTTAGAACATAAGTATCTTTAATAAATCAATGTATATTGAGACTCTGAGGCTTGTTGCTATTAACTTTCCAATACTTGTCACCTAATAAAATTTTTAGTTAATATATTTAGTAGTAAGCCCTAATAATATTAGGAAGCACTTTTTTTGGTTAGATGAAAAGGATACTCCTTTCCAATACCAATAACCGTAAGAGGTGGCGGAGGATTGTGTTAAATTTAGTCAAACTCTCTCAGACACCTTCATACCTCATAGGTGTAACTAATTTGGCACCAGGACGACTAGTTTGATCAAGATACATCAACTCTTCATCTAAATCAACCATATTTACATGACTAACACCTGCATTTTCTTCCTCGGTTACATACCACCAATCCTCATCGTCTTGAAAATCGTCAATAGTTAGATCTTGTTTTTTCCCTTCAATCTTCTTCTTGGTCAATCTTGTATTTACCATCACATAGACAAGATCGTTCATGGTTTTGCTTCAACCGATTTCTATTCTTGCTATGAATCTAAAAATATGAATTATTAAATTGAAATGCATAACATATAGTATCTATAAAAATTATACTTGATGAATTTAAAAACATACTATCTCAAATGCACTCCAATTCCTCTCACAACTAAAAGAGCTGGAAGAAATGAAGGTCAAGCTCAACACGTGAATAACAAAAGTTTGCAACTTTGGGTGTGCATAACCATAAGAGTGTTGAGCTTAACTTGTAGTTTTTCTGGATGTTAGAGGAGTTGTAGTGCCTCTGAGATGATATGTTTTTAAATTCATGATATATGATTTTTGTAGTTAATATGTGTTATACATTTAAGTTTAATATTTCATCTCTTTAGGTCCATACAAATAAAAGGAAATTAGTTGAAGCAAAAGAATGAATGATCTTGTATGGTATGGTATACAAGATTAACCTAGAAGAAGGTTGAAAAGGAAAAGAAACGAGATCTAATCATTGATGATTTCCTTGATGATGATTGGTGGTATGTAGCCCAACAAGAAAATGCAAGTGTTAGTCATGTAAGCGTGGTTGATCTAGATAAAAATTTGATGCATATGGATCATATTGACTGTCCTAGTGCTACATCAGTTGCACTTGTAGATGAATTTGATGTCTCTAAAGCTATAGAAAGCGATGAAGGAGGGTTGTGGATGGATGGGATTAATGATGATGAAAGAGTTGATACAATGGGGGATGGTTCAGACTATTGGCACATTCGTGATTTGTTCTAGCCTCCAACCTTTAAGCATTTATAGATTGTTTTATGTTTAAAATTTGAGACACGGTGGTTTTATGTTTAATATTTGAGACTTGGTGGTTTTATATTTGACTTGATGGTTTTATGTTTAGCATGTAAACTTCTGCACTATTTAGTGTATGTTTGGTTCTGCGGCGCTACAAATTGATTTTAAGTGAATTGATTTTGATTAAATTGAGTTGGATGTAAATTGATTATGTTTGGATATAATTGTGTAAAAGTGAGCTGAACAACAAATTTCAGTGTAAAAATCACGTTTAAACTCAAAAGCTACAAATTGTAGCTTCAAGTAGAATCAATCCTACTTTAGAAGAACCAAACACCTCAAAAATCATTTCAGAATAAATTCTACACCTCTAAAATTGCTTTTGACTCTTTCAAAAGATAAACCAAACATACACTTAATATATTTTTTTTGGGTAGAATCTTGCTACCCCTCTCGATCCTATGAAATTAATTGGGTAGGATTTTCCGATTTCAGTTACAATCTTGTTGTCTCCTCCCAATCTTATGCAAGATCTCGATTTTGATAACCTTGGAATTGAAGGTCAGTAGTATAAGCCGATGATGTGTGTATTGTGGAGAGTTTATGTGAGGAATAATAAGAGGAAGATAACGACGAGGCGGCATAATATATTTCTTTACTTTATACCATAATACTATTATCCATATATGTTCAGTTCTCTTCTAATTAATGATTTGGAGATTCTGCTTTCTAACAAGTTATATTCCAACTTTGTTTTGTATTTTTCCTTACCATGATATGGATTTTCATGCAGGCATCGATGATTTCCTTGAATTTGCTTGCTATCGCTCAAAAGCTTGCAAAAGTTGACTTATCTAAGAGATTATTTATTGAGCCTGACCTGTTGCCCTCTGAGTTGGTATGTCTATCCTCTAAATTGATCTTGAAAATTGCGTGTCTGCCTCTTCGCAAATCTCTTTACATTCAAATTAAATCTTATTTCATAATATTTCTTTTTTTTACGTTCTTCATCTTTTCTTAATTTTTTTCTGCGTGTGTCACAAATATTTTTTCGCTCATGTTTTATTTACTTCAGATTTTATTTCTGTTATCTGATTGAAACCATACAATGATAACTAAATTAGAGCAGTAGAAAGATTTTACTCAGGTCCACTTAAGTATGTTTCTGCTCCGGTGTTTCCCTACACATGGGAATTGTATAATTCTAATATGCTTATTCTTTACAAATTTTTTGTCTGCTTTCACTAATAATTACAAAAACATTTCATTTTCTCCATTTTTCTTGTACAGATTTTTGAATTCTGTAAACAGAATGAAAAAACATTGCGGCATTTTAGTTATTATTAGTTTAACGGTCTTGCTAATGAGTGTCCTAAGGACACTCTTTATGAATTCCAAATAAAGTTGAACATTTCAATTTCCGATGCACCCAATTTCCATAAAAACTTACTCTTTTAAGCCCTTAAAGAGTGCCCTTAGGGCACTTGCTAGTATTTCCCTTAGTTTAAATAGAAAATGTTTTGGTTGTTGTACTTGTAACTGTTGTTTTTGTGAAATAAAATACTTGTGCAGAATAATTTATGCAAGCCAAATTTAGCTTCAATGTCTTTCGAGTTTGAAAAACCATTTTTGTACATTCTCTGATACAATTGTGAATTGGAGTTATCTGTTGAGATAAGGCACAAAGTCATAGTGTGCTATTGCACGATCTTACGTCTCAAACCCAGGCTTCTGTGGTGCGATGCGAGTGGGATCAGAGAAAACTCTATCTTGTTTGCTGATTTGTTTAGTGTTTTGCTGAATTAGGCTGGTTTTTTGTAAGAAAAAAGCCCTATGATTTTTTAATAAAATGGATCTGGGTCGTTTTTTGAAATGTTCCTGAGGCTTCTCAATTCTTCTCTGTTTCTTCTCCCCTTCTCTTGAACTTAACTATTTATGATGCACATCAATTCTCTTCCGAAGACTGCCTTTCTGATGCCGCACCTTTCCTTCTCACCGTCTGTGACACAACATCCTCATTCCTTTTTCTGTTTCTGACCATTCCTCTTTTCTCTCTACTGTGCAGCTTGGTTTGGTTAGATCTCACCTCAGTTGGGATTTAAGGTTTAAGTAAGAATTGCTCCAGATGGACCCTGAAGTTTCCTCCCCCCCTCTTTTCTTTTGATAAACCAAGTCTTTGTATCATCAATTCCCTTTGTTTTTTTAACTGCCATTTAATCTTAATTTTTTCTATTCAATGCATAATAACACTAACATATAAAACTAAATAATAACAATATAACGTAATTTTACACACACGCACACAAATTGTAATTTAATATCTCTTTTGATTGTTATTTTTTTAGTTTAGTTTGATGCTAGTGGTTGGAATTCATCCTTTAAAAGGTGAACAAGTGAGCTGGTCTAACGAGACAAACTTAGGTAGGGTTTTACAACTACAATCCGTGTTATGATCATTGAATTACGATCTTTTAACGTCATCCTCATCCCCATCCCGATCTTGCATAGACTACAAACAATCAAGCCTTATCCCACTAAGTGGGGTCGGCTACATGGATCAACTTTCGCCATAATGTTCTATCTATAACCATCCTTCTATCCAAATCGTTAAGCTCGGGATCTTTTTAATGACTTATAGTCTTTCTAGGTCTTCCTCTAGTTGTTTGACTTCTTGCATAGACTCTTGATTTTTAAAATATTGATTACACCTCATTTCCCTGTCATCTAGTATATACTAAAACATGACCATATGTGCTTTTATAAGATTGACTATATAATCTACTGCCTGTAGTCATTGGTGAACGCATGACTATGATCATGTAGTGCTATAATGGTAAAAGCAACCATGCTTTATGAAGTCAAATATTTCACGTTCCTTTTGAGTTGAAATAGATATGATGTAGATTGAAGCACTAATACGAGTATCATGTAACTGTTGACATTTGGAATTTTAAGTTAAGAATCATTTAATAAATTCAATATATTTCCCTGTAAAGTCCCTAATAAGTTGGAGGATGTATTTTTTTATTTTATCTAGTCTTCAAATTTATATTTGCTGTATTAATGTGGTCAATTTTACAGCGTGTGGAAGACTTGGCAGTAGGCAGCAATGAAGAACCTGAACCTGACAAACAGGAAACTGCAGTGGACCATGAGCTAGCTAAGAAGATGTCTAAAGAATTAAATATAGATGATTTTGCAGCAGATCAGTTTACATCATCTAGTTCATGTAGTAGCAGCCATACCGCTTCTATATCTGCCTTGTCCGATAACACTCTCGTTCCTGTGAACAATGGTATTGAATTTTGATTTTCAGCAGGTTGGCAGTTGTGTTAAAAATAAAGAATTGCAGAGTGCAGAAACTAATTTACATTCATTGAAATATACAGTAGGGAAACACACAACATTTGAGGCAGCTGCTGAATTAGAACTGGATATGCTTCTAGATACGCTTGATGAGTCCAAGTCTAATGCTTCATTTACTGCTCCGTTTGGAGTCTCTTCAATTAAAGAACCAGTTTCAACCAGAATTGCATCAATTACTGCTAGTCTAGATGATGCACTTGACGACTTGCTAGAGGAAACATCCACTTTGATGAAGCCAAATGTTTTATCAAGGCCACCAGAAGAAAAGACTGTCAACCCCAGTATGCTCTCTTCACAATCCCAAAACATGTCAAAAGTTGCAGATGATTTTGATTCATGGTTTGATACACTTTGATTAGTCATGTGCCATAATTCTTGCTGATGTATAATGTGATCCGGGGAAAGAAAAATGGCATTCTTTTTTACCTTCTACTCTTAATTCTGATCCAATTTGGTCGAGGATTAAAACAGAATGCCCTTGCAACTCTAACCATCGTGTACAGAATTTAATGCATGAAACCCTTCGACTCTTTTGTTCAAATTTATTGATTCATTGTTCAGTCTAGTAAACAATATCTTCATGCAAAGGAAGGATTCACCGACTATGACAGTCTTTTACAATACAGTCATGTTAGAAGATATTTAAAGTTCAGTCTAGGCATATAGTTGTTACATAGCCAGAAATGAGGAAGATATTTAAAGTTCAAACTTACCGATGGCTAGAGTCATGTTAGAATATAGTTTCAAATCATGGTTTGTTTTGACAGGAAAATATTCTTACTTTTGCTTAAATCATGGTTTAACATTATAATTTCCGTTTAATGTGATTTTGTCATATCCATTATGTGGTAGAAATCCAATTTATACGGTTTATACTATGATTTGGGAGGAGGACATCACAATTTAAGCATTGCATAGTTAATGCTGTGTTGCTGCCTTAGTAATTGATACCTTTATTTTTGATGAGTTATCAAAGTTATTGATAGTTTGATAGTCAATAACTTGGGGCAAATAGTCTTCTATTTGAGTTGCTTATGGCACCGAAGATGATTATTATTATTATTTTTGAAAATTCAAAGTTAAAATTAGAAATATACAATTTTATATGCAAACTTTATCTCTTTTGATTACATAAACTGTCTGAAGATGATTTCAAATTTGTTTTATTTATTTTCAATTTATTTTTGATTTCAATTTATTTTTGATTTACTAAAGAGATAGAGAAAGATAATAAAATTCACTTATTAAAATAAGACATATTAGTCTATTAATAGAGTGTATATGGTAAATCTAATTTCACATTAAAAAAAATTAAATGTCATATTCTTTTTTTCCTCATTTGAACTTCTTTTGATTTTTTGTGTGACAACATTAGGGGATTTGCTCTAATAATAAACTAATATGACTTATTTTGGACCATGTTAACTCGATCCAAGGCGGAAGGATGATTTGGTTTGCGAAATCGGGAGATAATGAACAAAGCATGTTTGGTAAAAAGTGGTTGGAAATTGAATAGTGGGTGTGATGATTTTTGGTGCTGTGTTGTTCGAGAAAAATATGGTAGCAACTGGGGAGGTAACAATATTACGATAAGAAACACTGATTCGTGTTTTTGGAAAAGTGTAGTGAAGATTTGGTTGGAAGTGAATATGGTAGCAACTGGGGAGGTAACAATATTACGATAAGAAACACTGATTCGTGTTTTTGGAAAAGTGTAGTGAAGATTTGGTTGGAAGTGAAAAAACACAGTGTGTGGAAGGTTGGAGATGGTTCAGTAGCGAGAGCATGAATTCTAAATGGTTAGGGTTGGATATCCATATTGCTGATTTGGAAGTCGATATTCCAAGTCATTTGCAGGAAGCTAAGGTTGTTGACTTGGTTAATGGAGAAAGCGATTGGAACTGGAATAGCTTGCATAGTTGGTTGTTTGAGAGTATTTTGAAGAGAATTGCGGTTTTGGATCCTCCATCTAGTGAGGTTGGACCGAATTGGTGTGTGGGAATAGGCGAGAATGAAAGTTTTTTATAGTTGGGAGTATGTATGATGTGTTGGACATGGGGAATAGGATGGAAGAGAAAGACGGGTGGAAGGATGTTTGGAAGATTCAGGGTACGAAGAAGGTTAAGAATTCGTGTGGCTTCTTAAACATAATGAGTTTCTTACCAATAGTAAGAAGAGCAGAATGGGGTTGTGGAGTGCTATGTGTCAGTATTGTGGAGACGCGAAGGAGGACGCGTTTTATGTGCTTAGGGATTTCCCGTCAACTATGTCTTTATGGCAAGCGGAGGTGCATACTAACACGGGTTTGAGTTTTTTTCCAGGTGATTTGGATAATTGGATAGATGTAAATATGCAATACAAAATGGGTTTAAATACCAATGTTGAGTGAAACTCTTTTTGGGCCATGGCGTTTTATAATTTACGGAGTTGGCATAATAGAGAAAGGCTTATAGAAGATTATTCCCGACCTTCTAATATGGTGAATTACATATTCAGACAAGTTAAGGATTATAATCAGGCTCGATGCAATAGTATGGTTGTTAATCGTGAGCATCAGAAGGATTAGATACATATTAAGTGGGAGGCTCCTAGTGCAGGGAGAGTCAAACTTAACTCGGATGAGGATAAATGGTTGTGGAGGCATTTTAAGAGGAAATGAAGGAGAGTGCCCTGGAGAGTTTACTAAGCAAATTGAAGTTTGTGAAGTGTATATTGCTGAGCTGTGAAGTTTGTGAAGTTTACTATTGAAATGAGATTTAATAAGATTGACATTTGTGATGATTTGCATTAGGAGGTGCAAAATATTAATAATCGTTATATCAATAATATCTTGGAGAAAGAGATCATCAAGAAAATAAGGTCCTTTTTTCAAACTAAAAAGGATATCAAAGTGTCACATGTCTTCTGGAAAACCAACTTTTGCACGAATGCTGTTGCAAAGAAAAGAATTCAAATTATGAATTATGTTTTCTTTGAGTCATGTCCTTCGTTTGTAAGAAAGTTTTATGAGGATGACTTAGCGAGATCCTCATTTATTAAATTGGTCTCTGTTTGGATTTTTTTTGGGCCTTAGCCCCTCCTTTTATAAAAAAAAAAGACTTATTTTAATAAGTAAAATAAATAGATAATAAATAATTTTTTTTATAAATTAACAATCATTAAATAATACATGATATAATGAATTATTTAATAAATATTATTCAATTATCTAATTATTAATATATTAAATAATATTATAAAATTAACTTTTTGTTTAAAATTATGACGTGAGATAATGCCACGTACACAGTTAAAAGAGTTTAAAAAAAATTAAGAATATATATATATATATATATATATATATATATATATATATATATATATATATATATATATATATATATATATATATATATATATATATATATATATATATATATATATATATATATATATATATATATATATATATAATTATAATTTAACATATACAATCTTAAAATACAAGTACACTTAAGCTTTTATCAAATGTCAATATCTATGTTAATATTCAAATTAATTATTTTGGGCCAATTTATTATAATTTTATTTTGTTATATAAATTATTATTTCAAAATACAAAATTATTTATCTTGTTGCAACATTTTTTTTAAAATAATAGTAATCTAAAGTCTATTTTAAATAAGAAGATGTTGTTGGTGGTCCCAAGTTTCTCTGCAATTTGCAAATAAATACACACATATTAAACTATGTGATTTAAAATAAAATGTATAATTAGTCCCCAAGTCCCGTAAGTTAATTATGCGTTGCGATTTAGTATCTCAATAAAAAATTGTTTCGATTTGGTCCCATAATATTACTTTCTGTCGCGGTGAGAATCTGACACCATATCTATTGAATTATCTAGGTTTCAAAAATCTTAAGATATCACCACCGATCTTTAATTTATCTAAGGGAAGGGGAAAGAAAAAATTATCCATAAATATGCAATGCAAAGACAAAGCAATAAATAGATATAAGGTTCGAGGGTTGGTTATATTAAGGGAAGATATTAGCACCTTAAGTATCTATAGTGTCCTATAGGAACCTCTTGTTGAATTTGTGTTATTGTGAAGTTGTTTGCTAATTGGGATTGATTGGGGAGATGAGAAGAGAAGTGTGTTTTTTTTTATTATTTTTGTGTTTGGCAAGACACAAAGTCTTGTGCCTACGTACCAATGAAGGATCAAAACCTCGTAGCTCGGGGTACAAATTGAAAATGGTTTGTTATGGTGGATTTTAATGAAGAAGAGACAAGTTGTCATCTTAAGGAGGATACTCATATAAACCACCACAAATATGTGGAAGAGGGATCTTTGCTTCACATTGAGAGAAAGGCTCCAACTTAGATATAGAATCAACAAGTATGCCACATACCTCTCTCAAGTGGAAAATAATCAATCATCTTTCTCACAATGTCATGGGATAGGATATTTATATCTCAACTAAGGATGACTAATGTGTAATCTATTTGAAAATATTTTAAATTAAAAGGCAAAGTGGCAAAAAGTTTGAATTGAAGTTTGTGTTTTTTAGTCTTATAAAAGAAGTTTGAATATGCATTTATTAAGAAAAGAGTTAGAAAAATCAATGAATTAAAGTCAAGGTTTTTTATGAAAGAGGTTTTGAGTTTTGAAAGAGGAAAAACCCTAATTGAGTTGTCTAAGTTGAAGATAATCCTAAGGGAGGCGTCCTAAGGGATAACAAGTTCTAGGATTACAAAAAGAAATATATGTACAAGAATGTAAATATGCATATGCAAATGACAATATGTCAACAAATAAGTCCCTCCCTTGGATTTTGGCAACATGGTAAAGATGAAGCAAAATCCTAAAGAAGATCATTACACATACAATTTATGAACGAGAAGTAAGAACATGTTGAAAATAAGTCAAACCCTAAACCCTAACAAGGTATAAGCATACTTCAATATTAGGAGTTTATGAAGGAAATACTTGAAAACATGTTAACAATTAACAAAGTAAGCACAATGAACAAGACATTAAGACATGATTGGATCAAAGGTTAAAGAGACCAAAATCAAGTGGAAGTCCTAATCATGCATCAAGAGGTTTCAAATGATCAAGCAAGATTAAATCCTAGAGGTACCTTTTAACAAACTATTTAATCAAGGTTTTTTGTCAAAGAAAAGGACAACTAAACATGGTATAAGTTATCAAAGCATAATATAGCCACACAAACACATATGATCAATTAAGTCAAATAACCAATCAAAGAACAATCATTAAAAGACCTAAAAGACACATAAAAGGAACTAGTTCTCAAAAAATGGGAAAAATAAATATTATTTTTGGTAATTTTTCATTCATTCACAAA